TAGGTTAAAAATAGTTTTATCAAACATTAAATCATGGTACGGTAAAAACCTAATGGCATCTAAGTACAGTGATGAGGCAAACGGGATCTTTGACTCCTAAGCATTATGGTGGACATTTTTTGGGGGGAGGTGGGGTGATTGAATATATTATAACTGATAACATAAAACAAAAATTAAAATATTAACATAATAGGTAATCATGTTAAATAATGAAATATATTAAGGGGTTAAAGGGYGAGTAGGTACAGAATTTGATGCCGTGCATCATGGTTATTGGTTAAAAATGTTTACCACAAGTGTAAGGGTTGAATAGAATGTTGCGTAGCTACCTGGAATTCTAGGCAATTATAATATGATATTACTTACATACCTCAATGATTGTCTTGTACCACGACGATGATGAATACCACTGGCCGAYAGAGATGTACCGCCGGATGAGCAATACAGACAGGGAAGGTACAAGTGCTTACTGCTTACAGTCTACAGACGATTTGATTGCCACAGTATGATAATATATCATCAAAAATTATTATCGTTATAGTGAATTACAAATGGAAATAGCATCTGCGTACGTTAAATATATTAAACACTGCAAAAATGATAAATGTCAACGGTCAACAAAMGTCTGTTTTTAGCAAGTTGTTTGAGCGAATCGCTCTTACCAGATTACTACTATTATGGTACAGTAGTGGCCAGTATCAGTAAATTAAAAATTTGTTTTATGGAGGTAGATTTGTGATTGGTCATTGAACGACCTTGGTTTTGACGGTTACGATATTATTATATAATTCCTATAAAAAAAAAATAGAAGTCGGATTTCGGTTTCAAGACAAAATTAACAACCAATAAAATAGAATACGGACATACATAAATACATTCCATAATCCATAGAATAATATTATTGTGGAAAATTATCCAGGTGATTACTGAACAACTGAACACTGATTAGATAGAATGATGAACGGTGAAGTGACACTGTGACAGTCTACACAATTCCGAATTACATTCGTTGAGTAATAACTAYTATGAGTTATAAATTCTAATAAATGTCTTCATTAAATATTAAAATCGCGTTTTACAGCAGTTAAACTAACTACAGTAACYGCTAAGGTTAAACCACGGAATTCGGCCGGTAAAATCAGTGGGTTAAGCAGCGTATCCGAGGTTTGAACTATGATTGTAAGACGGGCCCAAACATAGTAATACCGCAGGTATTACCACAGTCGTAAATTGCAATATACATGGAATGGATACACTGATATTCCACCAAATTGAATAGTATGTTCCCGATTTTTGAGTGCTCAGCGAGTGTCCATTCYGGTTATTCTGTGGTAATATAAACATGTTTAAATATGTCTATGGTGTTAATACCTTACTCTATGGGTAATACTCGACTCATAGATAACAGATAACACCTTGTATGCAAGGAATTAGAGCCACCATGGTTACCATAATGGTTTTTGTGGTTATGTCAAGTTTTATCATYCCGATATAATATTAATCATGCCAATTTTTTATTGAAACTTATTAATTTCAAATTCCAATATAGTTTCTATTTTTTCTATTATTATTGGCAATTGTAACTAACAGTTGTTTCGTCAGTTTTTTAAGTGTTTATTAAAAATCACAAACTTAGATGATATAAAAATGTTTATAATAGGTACTGTTCACAAATTATGATGCATATAGTTTATAAAATATAAATTTTTGATATTTTTAACTCAAAAGCGCGTATTTTAGGGAAATAATTCAGTTTTGGAATTCATTGAATTTGTTCGAGATTTGCCATCGAATTTTATGCGAACCTCATAAATTCAACAGTTGTGCGCACTAATTTGAAAAAAAATTTAATTTAATGTAATAACTTACTAATAAGTAATATTTACCTAGCTTGTTTACATRAAGATTTCATGAAAATCGTTCAAACTCAATTTTTAATGATTCAAAAACTTCCAAATGCTCGATTTTTTCAAAAATCATGTTTTTCAGWTTTAAATATCAAAATTGTATAGTAAATTCCGAAAAATAGTTTGGGAAATAAACTTTTAATGTGTACAGTGCCGTCATTTGGGGGGTGGCATGGCGTGCGGTTGCACCCCTTACATTTAGAATGTTACAATTGGCCTGCGCCTTGCTGAAGCCTAAAATAATGCACGAGCCACGAATGCACAATTATTTATATGATTAAAATCAAATTGTAATAACCGGTCTATAATGTATGGAAATAATTTAATGCAGAATAATATACATATACGTATGTATATATATATTTTTATATGGCCTGGTGAAATTTCAAAATGGCCTGCTTGAAACTTCACACACCCGAAAAAAAAACTGAAATGACGCCCCTGAATGTKTWTACCGCTACACAGAATAATATAACAATAATCATCAGCMGTTTTGATGCTTCTGCAGGTAGATGACGCCCACATTAAATGTCGTCAAATAAAGACTAAAGAATAATTTAATGCAAGATAGAAATCACATCGTATTTGTGTACAAATTTTATTCAAAAAGTCAAAATATGTAAAGTATGGTAATATTGAATCTCTATTTCTATTTTTAAATGCTAAAATATATAAAAACTTAATATCAGATATGCTCCAAAAATTTAATTAGGGTAATCTATATGAATGCGTAATACATATTCCTTTTTAGATGAATCTTTATCTAATAATATAGATTAATAATTTATATATAGATATATCTTTATTGATTGCTATAATGCTATGTGCAGAAATGCAACGATCTTTCAATCAAGTATACGTATTCAGYAAATTGTTATTATTATTTTATTTCATTATTTTTAGTCTTTAACAAACAAATTATAAAATTTGGAACATTTCAACAATGTTGAATTAAGTTCAAAATATATTCATCGCTTTGCTCAGAATCTGAAATGAAAGAAAATTAACATCAAGTAGACTTCTCACTAAGTTGTAACCTAAAATAAATATAATCTAATTAC